AGCCCCGCCGCGCCCGGACCCCCGCCGGGCTCCTGCCTCTGGTTCAGGTCTCGCTTGTTGAGAAAGCACCGCGTTGCACAGCGGACGGCAGACCCCTGTTCTTTAACCCTCGCGCGTGTTTTTTCCTCCAAGCCAGAAACAGTTAACCCGAAGTCATCTTTCCACAACTTCGGGAATTTCGGGGAGCTGTTAATTTTGGTTTCTTCGCGAAACCGGCTCTGATGTGCCAGGAGGCCGGGCAGCCCGGGCTCCGAGCCCACGGTCTCCGTAGCCGGGAGCCGTCTGCCGTGTCAGGAACGAACTTGGAGAGTTAGGTGAAGCTGCCTTAAAAAAAAAAAGACAATTTCCAAGTTTGGCACGGAAAAGTGGCAGAGTTTTTGAGGTGAGACAGCCTGAGCGCGTCTTAGCCTTTCGGGGGCAGGAGGCCCGCGAGGCACCGGCGGCTGCAAGGTGAGGGCCTTGCCCACGTGCCGAGCGCGAGGCAGCTTTGTTTCCGCCCCGCACCCCCAGCCGCTCCTGGCTGCCGCCTTCCCCGGGCTGCGGGAGAGGTTCCTCTGCGCCGCGCCCGCCCCGTGCGTGCTTCACACCGGAGGACACTTCGGAGTAGCGCCGGGTCACCTAGTCCACAGCAGAGCCTGGATGAGCTCCCAGGGCCCACGTCGCCCCTGCCTCAGAGCGAGGGCCCTTCCCTTGCAGATTACTTCTCGTTTTCAGCCCACTTTCGAGGTCTCACTTAATTACCACTTAGGGCATTGTAAAGTGGCTAGCACCAAGCGCAAGAAATTTGCGGCTCTTTTAAAAATAGCTGTCTACGTCTTTACATTTAAAAATTGTTTTAAAACCTTTCTCTAATTTTGAGACAAACATTTCTTTGTTATAACTGATTTCAGGAAAAGAATATTTATGTGCATGTTGCCAAACATCTGGATGATAATGGAATTTTTCCATTTTGTATCACTGTCTGCTTTTAAGAAGTTGCAATCTAAATAAAAAGCAAGAAGACACTGTGGTTTTGGTGTTTAAGCAAATTTATAACCTGTTTTCAATCGATTAGTCAATTTTAAAGAGAATTTTAGAGCTAGAAGAGACTCTTGAGGTCATTTGAGCCAACCCTGTGTGTTTTACAAACGAAAAACTGGACGTAGGCCCAGAAGTTTAAATGACTTGCCTCAGGTCCCAGAAAGCCAGGGATAAAGCCAAGAGTAGACCCCGAGGCCCCTCATTTCTGGCTATTATCGAATACCTTCCACTTTAACAGGGAGCCTGCTGCGCCAGCCAAGTGATGTGGGGACCACAGAAGAGGGCAGAACTCTGCCCTCAGAGGTAGAAAGTTACCATCCGTGTCACCCCGACACTTGGCATACTGCAGAGGTTTCCAGGAATTCCTCAGAAAAAAGAAAATCTGTAGTGGTGGATGCTCTGCTTTTGAGCTATTTAATAAATATTTTTTTCTTTAAAAATAAAGTTAACTTACATACTTTAATAGGTTTTTAAATGAGCAGGTAATATTTTTCAGCATTAAAAAGGGAATATCATAATGTCAGCCTCCTAAAGAATTAAGTCCCATAGAAGTTATATATATTTTTTGGTGCAAATGATCAGAGTTCTCTGAACTCAGAATCAAAAACATTGAATTATGTCTGTGGTTTTTTCCATAGTGAAAAATCTTAGGTCTAGTTCAGTATTTTGTTAATGATCTCACACTGTCCTTAAGTGTTTGAAATTTCAAAATATTGAGGAGCTTGACTAAAGAGAGCAAACTTTTTATGTTGAATATGTGTCTTTCCACTTCTCCCTCCATTCATCCCAAGGTTCTGATACTTCGTTCTCTGCTCTGAGAGTCACTGGTCTAATCGAATTAAGTTCTGCAGTAAAACAAATGGAGAAATTCCCGTTTTTCATCATTTGATTTTATTCTCTTGGGATTATGGATCTTATTTATTTTTCCACTTGGTTTTCAGAGTATCCTGTTAACTTCATATTTGCCATTAAAATGCATCACAATTATATAAGCAAGTATGAACTGACCAAAGCAACTTGCAATGGGACAAATCTTCCAAAACCTATAGATGTGATTTTCCATATTCCCCTCACATACTGCTAAGAACTTTTTTAGTAATTCAAGAAGAGCATGCACTTCCAGTTTAATGCTTGTCTGATCAATGCTGGGGAGCCTGACATACCATTACCAATGTGAAAAGCGATAGGCCTTTCAAGACTGAATTGCTGTATGGCTGCTTGCTTCACAGAAACTTGTATTTGTTCAAAACCAGATTTCTGTTGCATATTCCACCTTTATTTGAGGTTTAGAATTTGGGTAACATTTGTGTTCTCTCCTCCCAAAGTTTTTAGCCTTAGTGTGTAACAGATTTTTTTAAAAAAATATGCTTTTATTGATTTCATAAAGAGGAAGGGGGGGAGAGAGAGAGAGAGAAACATCAATGATGAGAGAGTCATTCATTGATCGGCTTCCCCCAAGTGGGGACCGAGCCTGAAACCCGGGCATGTGCTCTGACTGGGAATCGAACCTCGATCCCCTGGATCCTAGATCGATGCTCAACCGCTGACCCACACCGGCTGGACTGTATAACAGATTTTTGTGGGATTTTTCATTCATAATCCCTCCGACATTTTTCTACTGCTTTTAGACAGATGTATCACACTAACCTCATAAGCAAGTTGGACTTTCCTATTAGGACAGTTTTTGGGACCACTCCACTTAAAAATAACTTTCCTGCTATCGTATGTCTTATTCTCAGGGGCTGCACCCCTGTGAAGGTCGTTGAATTGCGCTGCCTGCTGCTTGTGCTGGTTTAGATATCTTCTCAGGATTCTATGGTCTGACTTCATAAGTTGTAAAGTGTATAGTAAATGCTCTCAATAAAGCTCACATATAAACTTTAAAGGGAACTGGCAGAGGAACACAAATTATTTTCTTTTGTAAATAGCCTTTGAACTTGTAAAGTGACTGGGTCTGTTTCATTGCAGTTGGGTCTCTGTCTTCTGAGGACCATGACTTCGACCCCACCGCGGAGATGCTGGTGCATGACTATGACGACGAGAGAACCCTCGAGGAGGAGGAGGTGATGGGTGAGGGCAAACACTTCAGCTCTGAAATCGAGGACTTGGAAAAGGTAAAGGTGCTGCTTTAGTACCGTAATGCAGACCCTCAGCAGAGGTTTTGAAATTCTTTTGTAAGTTGTTTTGCAACCTGCTGTTTTGATCTACTTTTTACAGAGTGTCACTGGTTTTCTCTTTATTTTGGAGGATAGCCTAATAAGTACATTTTTATTTAATTTTCAGACTTATTTTAAATCTGTTAACCTAATTTTCAAGTTTGCACCAGCGCAGTGAAGGAGGCACCCGATGGTCTCACAGATGGACGGCTGAGCGTAGTCCAGTGTGGCCTAGACTAGTTCTGTCCAGGCCGCACTGTCTCCTGAGGGCAGGCTTGAGTTCAGCTGCAATAGATACAGGGAGAGGTCTCTTCCTTGAAATTACTTATCATCTGGTAGAATAACGAAATTAAAACAGAGAAAGTTTTACTCTATTTTAAAATGTAAGTTAGTAATGTCTCATTTTCTACCCCCCCAGTCATCTTTTAAAAAGTTGGCAGGAGTAAATATAGTTTATATAACTTTTTAAATCCAAAATCAGTATAAATTCAAATGAGCTGGATTTTAAACACATATTTATACCAGCACTACAAAGAGAGGCCTGCCTAGGGGTCATCTTGAAGAAAATGTAGGGCTATACTTGTCTATAAATTAACCTTATTTGCAGATTTCTAATCAGCGCAGAATAACAAAACCTTTCAGGAATACTATTAAATGTAATAATCTTTTGAGTTTTCATACTCTTTTTTCTTGAGGACGACAAAGCACATTCTTACATAATCTCTCTCTCCTGCTGACTCTGAGGCAGGGGTGGGCTCTTACTCATGTTACTACACAGGGAGACAAGGCAGATAGGTCCTCAGGCTTGGACCCTGGCTCACTCTGCTAGACCTGGAATTTTCTAAATGCATTCATTCATTTGGCACATTAATCCAAAACAGTTGCGGTTAGATTTAGTCATTTAAAAACATGTATATCTCCTATAAAGGGCACACATATTTGGGAATATGGAGATAAGATTGTTAGGAAATAAGAAGAAAAGTCTTACTTATTGCTTCTTTAAGGGGTGATGATAAAATAACTGTTGTTGAGAAAAGATGCCCAAGAGTCTTGAGCTCTGCCTGGCGTTGTTCAGGCAGTTCCCTCATATCTCTTGAGTGGGTGACCTAGAAAAACTGAGAACGATAATCCAGTGAACATTAGCACTAAGCCAAGGACTGTGGTAGGTCCTGGGATTGCAAAACGAGCAAGTTGACAATGTCCCTGAAATCTGGGAGCTCACAGCGTAGTGTGGGGACAAGTGGGAACCAAGATTGTAACGTGGATGCTAAGCAGTGTGAGCGCCGTAAGCAGCGAGAGCTGGGGAGAGGGAAGGTGTGTGTAGTAGATGTTTAGCCTGGTGTGGAGGGTCATGGAGGCTTCTCAGAACAGACACTTCTCCCGGTAGCTGTTAGGGGCAGGACACTGCTGTTGGCATGGGGAGAAGTCCCAGGTGTTCCCATAGTTCATCTCCCCTGGCCACGTGCTTGCTATTGAGGGTAGGGAGACCGCAGTCTAGTTGCCACGTGACATAAGGGCGATGTACATGTGCGTGTTATTTGTTCGGTGTCTGTTCTGTCAGTGAGACGGTCAGAATTGAGGTGGCTCAGTGGCTGCCGAGTGTGGAAAGTGTGGAGATGTCTGATCGGGGGAAGCCCTGTTTTTGGATACGTAGGCTCTGTTCTTTCAGTGGTGGTGGCAGCCGCTGTGCTGTTAGTGAGTTTAAAGAAAATTGGGGGAGATACTGAGAAATAATCAAGAGCCAAGAGTTACACACTTGTCTTGTCACATAAGTACCTGGGTCCTACTCTTGTGATTTTCATCTTGTTTCATAAACACTGGTAATTAAATCTTTGCTTTGTAACATCACCTATTACTGAATTTGTAGATTCAGAAAAATTGTGGGCCTTTAAAGATTTCAACTTTTCTGTACTTGGACAGCTTTGCTTTTTGGCATTTTATCACATTCTTGGAAATCAGGATAAAATAATACAGGTCGTCTTTAAGTAAATTCCAGTGAAGGTCTAAGAGCTACATCCCCCTGGATAGACTAACCCTGTCTCACTGGGCAGGGACGGGGCTGTTCCTGAGAGTGGCTGCTTGCCCACCTCCCTCAACTCCTGTCCTTAGTGCAGCATAGCTGTAGATGTGGTCTCTGTTCTTTAGTGAAACATGAAAATGAATAAAAAAGAGTGGGAAGAGATACAAATATAAGGAGTAAGGATCACTTCCGGTCCCGGGCGTGTCCTGAGTGTGGTGTGTGCCTGGCTCGCAGGAGGGAAGCATGCCTCTGGAGGACCTGCTGGCCTTCTACGGCTATGAACCTGCGCTTCCAGCCGTGGCGGATTCCAGTGTAAACAGTTCCCCAAGCGAACTCGCAGATGAACTGCCAGACATGACGCTGGACAAGGTAAGTACGATCATCTAAAAGAACAACTCTAGGTCCCTAGCCACTGACTGCTTATCGGCGTTTCCTTACCGTAAAGGTTTTCCTAATTATGAAATGGAAGCTTCTACCACCCACTGCTCACCACTTTGGTGGCTGATGGAAATGCCGTCTGGCTTGATCACACTACTTTAAAGGTCGTGGCTTCATAGTGCTTGGCATGTTTGAGTTCCACAGTTTTCTGTCTTTTCTATGTAGGTGTATTTTGCCTAAACTTAGATTCTGCCCCAACCTCTTTGGATCCTGAGTACCCTTGAATGCATTGGTCAGTAAATCCCCCAGGAGCCTTCAGACCAAGCGGCTCACTCAGGGAGGGTTGGAGAGAAGTTCTATGTGTGGGGCCCCACGGGGGACAGTGGTATGGCAGCCCAGGCCTCGGGGACGCGTCTCTGGCAGGCTGGTTGTGGGGAGGCCTGGTCCCTGCTGAGGAAATTCACACGGCCACTGTCTCTGCTAACAGATCCCTGGGAAGCTTCCCTGGCCTTTCCGATCTCAGGCAGGGAGAGGAATCCACATCTTGGAACCTCTTCCTGTGAGTTATGTTCCCACTTTTCAGTGAAATGTGATATTAATGCACCACAGACCTGGTGACCACCGTCACTCACAACACTGAGTGCCCCTGTGCTCCAGCACAGGGGACTGCACACTGGCACAGAAGTAACCAGACCTGCTTCTCTGACATCATACCTCTAATCAGAGCTGTTCGTTAGTCGGGCTTTCCATGTTACTGGAAGGATGGACTTAATGACACTTTTTGGCTTTTATAGTCCCTCAGTATCTGTCAGGGGCAAAGGAGGTATTGGTTCTAGCCCCCTCCAATGAATGCACATATCCAAGGGTCCTCCAGTCCCTTGTGTAAAATGACCTAGTGCATCCTTCCACTCACTGTGAGCCATCTCCAGTTGCTTGTAATACCTGGCGCCCTGTCAGTACTGTGTGCATAGTCGTTACGCTGGGTTGTACAGGGAATACTGACCTGAAGAAAGTCTGCATGCTCAGTACACACCCAGCCACTGGGGGCCTACCTCCTTAGTACACATATCTGCATTCGGTTGAATTGCGGATGCGAACCCTCAGATACTGAGGGCAGACTCCTTATTTTGGCAAAAAGCGAGTTTATTTTTGTTTTAAAGTCACTAAAAATTAGCCTGCAGCTTCAGATAAGCTCTCTGCAAATCCACAAATTAGGTAAATTGTTTGTTGTAAATCTATAAAGTTATTAAATACGATTAAGTTTTAAATGTTATTAAATATTTACAGGATGTAAATTATAGAATTTCAGATTCTCTCAAAACTAAGGGAGCTTCAAGTAGTTCTTAATTATATTATAGTACTATAATAACGTTTATGAATAATGTTATAAAAAGACATTTTAAAAATTGATGAGATGGGATCATTCTAACTGGCCCTGCATTCCTGTTCTACAGGAGGAAATAGCAAAAGACCTGTTGTCAGGTGATGATGAGGAGACTCAGTCTTCCGCAGATGACCTGACGCCATCAGTGACCTCCCACGAGACTTCTGATTTCTTCCCAAGGCCTCTACGATGTAAGAAACCCAGTCGTTGCTGATCATAGCAGGGTTGCTGCTCTAGCTTGAGTACATTTTATTGCATTTGATAGTTTGTCAAAATAGTCTAAGTTTTTTACTTAGTGGAAATAAAATGCTGTTATAGTCTGAATAAGAATACGACCTTTTTTATTGTGAACAGAGGTCAACTTATATTTTATTTAAAAATTCAAACATTGCTCAGGTGTGCCAGGCTGTTTCTCCCCCAGGATTCGCCTGTTGCTATGATAATCCTAGTTCAGCCATGAAGTTCTGCAGACGTTTTTTGGACTTCTGTTAGAAAGCCCTTACTCTCTTGGTTTTGAAAACTCAGTTGCTCAAAAAGTATTTTTTATTTTTAGTGATTTATCTAATCCTTTCTTTTCAGTTCTTGGTGTTAACCCTTAATATATGTCAGGACTAGCTAGAAGGTCTTTGAACTGAGAAATTTCTTCGATGCAGCTTGCTTGCTTCTCAGGTACTTCTGGTAGAGCTGCTGAGTGGGCAGGTTGAAACCCAGGTGCACAGGTGTGCACAGCCTGACTGACGGCTGGGTTGCAGCTCCTTGTGCGTCCCAGTCTGGTCAGTGGAAGGGGACTCAGGCCTTTGTCTTTCCTGAGGTGACACAGTGGTGTGCCCTGTGCCTCCCCACTGCTGACCAAACACTGAGTGATCACAGGACACTGCACCCCCACCTGGGCTGCTACCTGGGCTTCTTTTGACGTGTCAGAGACCTGAGAGCAATACAGGAGGTTTAGTATAGTTGTGCTGACCTCATTTATTCAGCAGATTTTAATAAGTTCTATGTGCCAGCCCCTCTTCCAGGTGCTACAAAAATAGGCAATAAAAACTTTTTTTAAAATTTATTTTTTTTCCTCTAAGCAAATACCACTTGTGATGGAGATAAAGAATCAGAGGTTGAAGATGTTGAGACAGACAGTGGTAACTCACCTGAAGATTTGAGGAAGGTAAGTTAAATTACCATCATAACTTAGTAGACCATTTGGACCAAAGTATTAAAGCAGCTTTTTAAAACATTTAAAAAATAATTTAAGAAATCCTGGCCCTGGCTGGGTGGCTCCTTTGGTTGAGTGTCATCCATGCACCAGAAGGTCGAGGATTCGATTCCCGGTCAGGGTGAGTGCGGGAAGCAACCAGTCGATGTTGGTTTCTCACATCGATGTTTCTCTCTCTCCTCCCCTCCTTTCCCCTCTCTTAAAGAAATAAAGAAATAAAGAAGAAATTTTGTTACTACATGATGAAGTTTCTTTTGACCTGTGGTAACTGATTAATGAGTTGGAAATTTTTTCCAGTATTTATTTTTATAATAAGTTGTTTTTACTTCTGAATTTTCTTATAGGAAATAATGATCGGTTTACAGTACCAGGCAGAGATCCCCCCTTACCTCGGAGAGTATGACGACAGTGAGAACGGTAAGGAAGGCGTTTGGTTTTGATGATGAATACTCTCTCAGAATTAGCACAGGACTCGGACTCCGCACCCTTCTCTGGACGGTGCTTCTCGCCAGTGTGCCCCTGGGACACTTGGTTCTTAATAAAATTTTTAAAAATGTTTTTAAACCTTTGCTAATGAAACATACAACTTGCAGATAATCCCATTGCTGATGTCCCTCCAGTTGGTCACTTGAACGGGTGAACAGCTGGTCAAGGGAGAGGAAGCATTTGCTACATGCTCAGTGTGCTCACTGCTTCCACGGGCTAAGGGGGTTTTCCTTACAGTGTCTAAGAATGAAGACCATGAAGACCAGTTGCTTTGGCGTCCCGGTGTGGTTTCCGAGAGCAAAGTTAAGGAGTACCTTGTTGAGACTGCACTGAGAACTGGAAATGAGAAAATGGTGGACAGGGTTTCCGCAGGCACGCTCACGAGAGACAACGAACAGGTAGCCCCAGCTTCTGAGTGGCTTACGTCTCATGCAAGTATTTCTTAAATGTCAGCTGAGTATCTGCTTTGCTTTGCTTTGCTTTTTATTTATTTATTTGGACATCTCTTTCGGATAGGTTTTTAAAACTTAGAAAATACTGGTAAAAAAAAAATCTTGAAACCTAGTGATCATCACTCTGTGTTGTTTCATGTCTTTTCTGGTCTTTTTTCTATACATACACCCATATCTTTCTTTAGGTACTCGTCTACATTCTTAATCACTTAAAATTTTTTTTTTTTAAATATATCTTTATTGATTTCAGAGAGAGGAAAGGAGAGGGGGGGAGAGAGAGAGAGAGAGAAACATCATGATGAGAGAGTCATTGATCGGCTGCTTCCTGCACGTCCCTGACTGGGGATCGAGCCCGTAACCCGGGCATGTGCCCCGACCGGGAATCGAACCCTGATCACCTGGATCCTAGGTCGATGCTCAACTGCTGAGCCACGCCCAGCCGGGCTTAATCACTTAAATCTTATCTTAATTTGCCATTGAGGATTCTTTAATCCCTCATTTTTTTCTTTTTTTTTTCTTTTTACATAGTATGTATTTTATTAGTTTGTACTAATACATTCTCATATTACAAAGGCAATTTAGTACAAGAATCTTTTGATATTTGAACAATCTGAAATAACATACAACTGTACATCAAAAAAAATCCTCATTTGAATAACAAAAAAAAGACAAGCTAGACAACAAAAAATGTTCCTTTCTTACAGGTGGACATTGAAGTGGATCTAATTCGTTTTTCTTTTTAAAAGTCTCCAAAGACAAACAGCTGAAAACCTAATTAAAATGAATAAAAAACTTGTTTACTAAATTACTGGTCTCCGGCACCATTTTCTGTTTTCTGCTGTTTTGATGCAGGTTCTTCTTTGTCTGTTTCTTCTCCTGCTCTTTTCACTGGTCCTGATGCCCTGTTTTCATCACGTTCATCATCACTATCAAATTTAGTGTTCTTGCCCTGGACTGTACTTTTCCTTTAGCAGACCCAGTCTGGGCAGCTTTATTTCCCTTTCCTTTTCCTTAAATCTGCGACCTTTTGACTTCCATTTGTTTAAGGATTCTTGCTGATCTTCGATGATTTTTGTCAATGCTTCTTTTTCCACGTCTCCATCTAGTACTTCCCATGTCACTTCTTTGTTCCTTAATTGTAGGTTACCATTATTTGCATCTTTGGCTTTATCCAGTGCTTCCTTAGCTTTTTCTTTAAACAGAATTATTCCCTCTTTTGCTCCTCTGACAAGGTCTATCCATTTTATTTCACCATGATTTGAGAAAAGAATGTGCAAATCTTCTCTACAGGTCTGATCATCTAGGTCCCCCGAAAATTTCAACAAGCAGCCAATCTTTTCTTCTAGAGATTTCATTTCAGCATTTTCTGCTAGCTTTTGTTTTTCTTCTTGTTCTTTTTTAGCTCGTAATTTACCTTCCACTTTATTTTGCTTTCTTCATTTTTTTCATTTTTTTTTTGCAAAGTAATCTTCCTTGAAAAGTATTAGCAGATCTGTATCTTTATACTTTTGTCCAGGGGTCTCCACAAACTTTTTAGCAGATTCAATGCTATCAAACACAGCAAATATGGATCCCTTAAATGNTTTTTCTTTTTAAAAGTCTCCAAAGACAAACAGCTGAAAACCTAATTAAAATGAATAAAAAACTTGTTTACTAAATTACTGGTCTCCGGCACCATTTTCTGTTTTCTGCTGTTTTGATGCAGGTTCTTCTTTGTCTGTTTCTTCTCCTGCTCTTTTCACTGGTCCTGATGCCCTGTTTTCATCACGTTCATCATCACTATCAAATTTAGTGTTCTTGCCCTGGACTGTACTTTTCCTTTAGCAGACCCAGTCTGGGCAGCTTTATTTCCCTTTCCTTTTCCTTAAATCTGCGACCTTTTGACTTCCATTTGTTTAAGGATTCTTGCTGATCTTCGATGATTTTTGTCAATGCTTCTTTTTCCACGTCTCCATCTAGTACTTCCCATGTCACTTCTTTGTTCCTTAATTGTAGGTTACCATTATTTGCATCTTTGGCTTTATCCAGTGCTTCCTTAGCTTTTTCTTTAAACAGAATTATTCCCTCTTTTGCTCCTCTGACAAGGTCTATCCATTTTATTTCACCATGATTTGAGAAAAGAATGTGCAAATCTTCTCTACAGGTCTGATCATCTAGGTCCCCCGAAAATTTCAACAAGCAGCCAATCTTTTCTTCTAGAGATTTCATTTCAGCATTTTCTGCTAGCTTTTGTTTTTCTTCTTGTTCTTTTTTAGCTCGTAATTTACCTTCCACTTTATTTTGCTTTCTTCATTTTTTTCATTTTTTTTTTGCAAAGTAATCTTCCTTGAAAAGTATTAGCAGATCTGTATCTTTATACTTTTGTCCAGGGGTCTCCACAAACTTTTTAGCAGATTCAATGCTATCAAACACAGCAAATATGGATCCCTTAAATGCTTTGTGCAGTGTTCTTCTCATCTGAATATTTAGTACATGACCTTTATCTTCTAACCATTCTTTTATGTCATCAAGGGTTGCATCAGTAGGGAAACCTTTAATATAAACAGATCTGTTTTTTACATCATTTTTATATTCGTCAGTCACTTCAGGTAGAGGTTTGTTTGGAGATCTTCTGATTTTGGTTTTATCTTCGCTTATTTCCATGAGTTCTGCCTTTGATTTGCTCAATGCTTCTACTATTACATTAAAGTCTGTTGTTAGACGATTTAACCTAAAGAATATGTATAAAAGCACTGTAAGACTTAGTACTNATTGAATTTTATCATTATTTGCAACGGTACCCAGCCTTCATCCAGTTTGATTTGTTCCTTTAAAAATTTGTCTCGTGGCAAATTGAAGTCACCAAAATAATACTCAATTTGATGACATANCACGTCTCCATCTAGTACTTCCCATGTCACTTCTTTGTTCCTTAATTGTAGGTTACCATTATTTGCATCTTTGGCTTTATCCAGTGCTTCCTTAGCTTTTTCTTTAAACAGAATTATTCCCTCTTTTGCTCCTCTGACAAGGTCTATCCATTTTATTTCACCATGATTTGAGAAAAGAATGTGCAAATCTTCTCTACAGGTCTGATCATCTAGGTCCCCCGAAAATTTCAACAAGCAGCCAATCTTTTCTTCTAGAGATTTCATTTCAGCATTTTCTGCTAGCTTTTGTTTTTCTTCTTGTTCTTTTTTAGCTCGTAATTTACCTTCCACTTTATTTTGCTTTCTTCATTTTTTTCATTTTTTTTTTGCAAAGTAATCTTCCTTGAAAAGTATTAGCAGATCTGTATCTTTATACTTTTGTCCAGGGGTCTCCACAAACTTTTTAGCAGATTCAATGCTATCAAACACAGCAAATATGGATCCCTTAAATGCTTTGTGCAGTGTTCTTCTCATCTGAATATTTAGTACATGACCTTTATCTTCTAACCATTCTTTTATGTCATCAAGGGTTGCATCAGTAGGGAAACCTTTAATATAAACAGATCTGTTTTTTACATCATTTTTATATTCGTCAGTCACTTCAGGTAGAGGTTTGTTTGGAGATCTTCTGATTTTGGTTTTATCTTCACTTATTTCCATGAGTTCTGCCTTTGATTTGCTCAATGCTTCTACTATTACATTAAAGTCTGTTGTTAGACGATTTAACCTATTGAATTTTATCATTATTTGCAACGGTACCCAGCCTTCATCCAGTTTGATTTGTTCCTTTAAAAATTTGTCTCGTGGCAAATTGAAGTCACCAAAATAATACTCAATTTGATGACATATTTTGGCCTCCAGAGCAGCCAGTTTTTCATCACCATTTTCAGCCATTGTGGCTATCTTTAAGGTCCCGGTCCCACAGAGCCGGGCCATCTCCGCGTCGCCTCTTCTAACGCGCACGCCTAATCCCTCATTTTTTATTTATTTATTTTTAAATATGTCTTTATTGATTTCAGAGAGAGGAGAGGGGGAGAGAGAGAGAGAAACATCAATGATGAGAGTGTCATTGGTTGGCTGCCTCCTGCTCCCCCCCAACACTGGGGATCGAGCCCACAACCTGGGCATGTGCCCCAACTGGGAATCGAACCAGATCTCCTGGTTCCTAGGTCGATGCTAACCTCTGAGCCATGCTGGTTGGGCTGATCCCTCATTCTTGATGGCCATTCCATTCTGTAGTTGCAGCATCACCTACTTAAACATGTCTGTGGGACTTTCAGTTTATTCTTGAACTTCACTCTCCTGGTTGGGTGGGGTGGGGTGGTGGGAGTATTGCCCATTAAGGGCTTTGTGAATACCCCTTGTTTTGCCCTCTGACATCATGTTGCCCCTCACCCCCCCCTTTCACTCTGAATTGCCAGGTGGTCCTGACTAACGAGAACCCAGAGGTGGGTGAACTTAGGCTTGTTCCCAGGTGACACAGAGACGTCACACTGGCTGAACTTCAGAGTAGTTTTATCAGCTGTCGGAGGGAGTCCCATTGGATTTTTGTTCTGATATTCCATTAAAACTATAAATTAATTTTGGAAGAATCAGTACCTTCAAAATATTAACCCTTACACTTCAAGACCGTGATCTGTGACTCTCTATTTTACCTTTTTATCATGGGAATGTTTTGTTTGTTTTAACATGACATGCACCTGATTCCTCAATATTTTTAAAATGTGTATGTGTACTCAGTGCTGTTGTAGATGGGCTCTCTGTTACATTTATAATTGTATGTTGATATAGAGGGATGTCAATTATTATTTAATTTTTTCTGAAGCTAGTGAAACTAATGATTTCCAGCTGTTTCTCTTAGGTTTTCTAGTCTTAAATTTGTTACTGAATAATTACACGTCTGTTCCTTCCTTACATCATTGTCTCTCTCACTCTTGTTCTGTCATAACTGTATTGGCCGTGGCTCTCAGAGACACTAGTGGCAGTGACGGAGGCCTGCTTTTCATGGAAAGTAGTGCAGCTAAGGCTTTGCATTAAGAGTAATACCTGCCCTTGGTGCGACATGGGCTGTCTTTGTGACAGATGTAACTGTCTACTCACAGCTACTATAGTTTTTTTACTTATTGTTAGAAATCGGTACTAATTTATCAGTTGCTTTTTCAGCAGCTATTGAGATTGTTTTTTCATGATTGATTATTACTGTAGTGATTATTAACCTATTGATATAGTAATAGCTTTACCAGTATTGAGCCATCTTTGCCTTCCTTGAAACTTACTTGGGAAGGTAGAGTATTACTTAACTTGTAATCGATTTCTGTTTACTTCTATTTAGTATATTCATAATTTCCAACAGATTTAATAGGAAGAGATTCTAATTTTAAAAAAGAGATCCTTCATGGTGGATGACAGTGACTGAGACCATTATAAACCCTGTTTGCCAAAGTACCCCCACTTCTGGTCCAGACCTGCTGCTCTGCTCTTTCATTAACACTCTCAGAGGCAGGAGGTGGGTGATCAAGAGGACTCTAGTTCTAGCTTTTCCTGGCTGGAAAAAATAGTGTAGAATAGGGGGGGTCCCCCAGTTCAGAAGACGTGGCAGTAAAAGTCAAGAATGATACTGGCAGCTGACTTCTGAGAGGTGGAGTGAGGATGGGCCGGGAACGCGTGGGATACTGCAGTCAGTCTGCAGGTGGCCATGTGGACTCAACGTCTGTGCACACATGCCCCCGAATGTCCTGGAATTAAAAAGCATTTTAGCCAGTACTTGGCAGGACTTTGAAATACACCTGGGTTTTTATTTGCTCATTTTTAATGTTGTTAAGAATGAACTTCTGGTTGTTTTTATTGAGTAGTTTTTCCTCTCTCCAGGCATTGTATGAACTTCTCAAGTGTAACCATGACACGAAGGAGGCGATCGAGAGGTATTGCTGCAACGGAAAGGCATCTCAAGGTAAGAAGCTCTGGATCGGGGGAGCGACGGGCGGTCACGTGGGGTCAGAGTAAGCAAACCACCGTGAGGGACAGAACAGCCCTGTGACACTCTGTAAGGTCTTTGTTCATCTTCGTAGCAAATGTTTCCTTTCTCTTGTCCTCTATTTTTAGACATACCAGAGATTACAGATTAGTTCCTCGTCACCTCCACTTTCTTGAGGAAATAGTCACAGCACAGAGCAGACCCCAGAGATGACAGTACAGCCAGAGTCATTAAAAAGAACTGTTTTATCGCTTCACTGGGAAAACTGTTCTTTCTTTTTCTTTTTTTTGGGGGGGGAAAAAAAGGAAATGAAAAGAGATAAAAGATTTAAGAGAGAAACATGTATGATGTGTTCCATTGACTTTATTGCAAGAAGTGTTTTTTAGTAATTATGCAATAACAGTCTTCCCAAGGCTTCGGTGGTGTTTTTTGTGTGTCAAGGAAAAGGGTTCACTTTAATGTCAGTGTTTTTGTCACTGCATGAGTGGTTTCCTGCCTGTGGCTTTCACTCAGGATGTGTAGAGTGAAGCACTGCTTCGTGATAGTATAGTGAGGGCTTGGAAAAGTATGAAAGCTGGGAACAGTACATTGAAACTTGTAGGTTGAGGTAGTCTATTGAAATGTTTTCTTGTAAAAGCTGCTGCTGTAAGAATTATTTTAAGTTTCTTAGTTCAAAGTATTTTTCACCTTTCTTGTGGACTCCTGTTAATGGCTTTGGGGACCTGGCCCCCAGTGTCACTGAGGGAACACTTCAGTCCTGCCTGCCGGAGCATCAGGTAGATTGGAGTTCACCACTGTTGGCGTCTGCCAGGCGTTGAGTGGGGTCTAGCCTTCTGAAAGCATGGGCTATTTCTTCCTTCACGTTTCCAGAGCCTAGCACAATGAAAACCTACTTTAAGTAAATACGTATTTATTGTTTATGGTTTCTAGCTAAAGAACTTATGGTTCTGATGTAAGACCAGAATAAAGCTGCTTTTTCCATAAAGTAAAACTTTATTCTAACTAAAAAAAAAGTAATAATATACATATGTATATGTCTGTGTTCATTGTTTTAAAAAAAATCAGACCAACAGTGAGTGTAAATTATATAAAAACATTAAATTCTTATCCCACCATGCAGGAAAACCCCCCACCAGTGTTTATATTTTGGTATTCTAGACTTTAGATAAGGTTTATAGTTTGCATACTTTTGGCAATCCTAACTGAAATCTCCAACATATAGAACGTGTGTGTGTGCATGTGTGCGAGAGAGTTGATGGCCTTTAATATGGAAAACATACTGAAAGTGAAAGGGCTTTAAGGCTAGTGCACTTCGTTTAAAATTTCTCTAGAGGGAATGGCCGCGTGGACAGAAGAGGAGTGCCGGAGCTTTGAACACGCGCTCATGCTGTTTGGAAAGGACTTTTATCTCATACAGAAGAACAAGGTAAGTCAGGCAAAGGAGTACAAAGAACTTGCTTAGTAATTACCATGACTATAAGCAACTAACCTTCAGGTCACTCAGGTAGAAACACAAGCCCAGCTTGTGAAGGCTTCCCTGCCGCCAGTTCCAGTCCTGCTCCCCGTGGTCCCCTTGACACGCACAGCCAGCGCCTCTACTCTGAAAGCGGGTTTACTGAAGTTCGGGAAATCCTACTCTTCTACCATTTCCCTGACTTTCATTTCTTTCTAAACTGTTTAGAGGTTCGTGGCCTTAAAAATGTTTCTTTTCAGCAAGAAGTGCAGGTGCTGGAGAGACATTGGTTCCTAAAAGCAACTAAAAATATTCTAAAACAACAGCGCCGGGGAGATGTGGAGCAACAGAAACTTTACTGCTGGTGAGCATGCAGAACGGTGCAGCCACTGTGCAGGACAGAACCAGCCATGGTCTCAACATACAGTCCGTCAGTGGTGTTCACCCCAGGGACGTGAAAACTGTCCGCACAGAGACTTGTGCCGGTTGTTTACAGCAGCTTTGTTCATAATTGCCAAAACCTGGAAGCGACTGAGATGACCGTCAGCAGGTGAAGGATAAGCGGGTGCACCCATACAGTGGGCTGCTGCTCAGCCACAGGGAGACATGGAGGCCCGTAAATGCGCGCTGCCAAGTCAGAGCATTCAGTCTGAAAAGGCCGCACGCTGTAGGATTCCAGTACTGTAGGAATGATTCTGTAAAAGGCAAAACTGTGGAGATGGTAAAAAGATGAGCGATTCCAGGCGTCAGTGACACACCGGCAGAGCACAGGATGTCCGGGGCAGTGGGACTGCTCTGTGTGCACTATAATGGCGCACACCCCGTTGTCCCTTTGTCCAAGCCCACAGACTGTCCCGCACCAGGAGTGACCCAGTGTAAACGATGGACTCTGGGTGTAGGTTCAGCGGTTGTCGTAAGTGCACCTTGGTGGAGGTGTGAGGTGGGGGGCTCTGTGTGTGGGAGCAGGTATGTGGCAGCTCTGCTTTTCAAGTCTGTTGTGAACCTAAAACTGCTCTAAAAAATATATATATTTTTTTCGAGAGAGTATTCTAGTGATTCAGAATAGTTAAGTCTCATTGAAGTTAGCTTTATTGTCATTTCTCTTCGTCATAAAGGGACAAAGGATTCTGAAGTATTTAGACATGTAGGTCCATATTTTATGCTTTTTTTTTTTTTACTAAGAGACTTTATAGCAGTTACTGGTTTACAGAAAAATTGATCAGAAAGTGCACAGCGCTCCCTTACCCCCCTGCCCTGCCCGGACATACACAGCTTCCACGAGCGTCAATCTTATATTAATGTGATACGTCTGTTACAGTTAATGAACCAGTATTGATACATTTTGACTAACGGAAGTCCCCAGCTCACACGGGGGTTCACTCTTTGTGCTGTACATTCTAAGGGTTGGACAAAGGTGTAATGACATGTGTCCACCATTACAGTGTCATGCGGAGTAGCTCCACTGCCCTGGCGGTCCTGTGCTCCGCCTGTGCGTCCCTCCCACTAACCCCTGGAACCACGCTTCTTTTTACCCCTCTCCAGTCGCTTGCCTTGCCCAGGATGTCTCGTAGTTGGGGTCAGACCGCACGCAGTCTTCTCAGGTTGACGTATTTGACTTAGCTGTGTGCATTCTTGGTTTCTCCATGCCTTTTTGTGGCTTGATAGCTCATTTCTTTTGTTCCACCTGTGGATGTACCAGCTTGTTGATCTGTCCCCTATTAGAGGACATCTTGTTGCTTTCAGGTTTTGACAGGAGTAAAGGTGCCATAAACATCGGTGTGGAGGTTTTCCTGTGGACGGAAGTTTTCACCCCTTTTGGATAAATGCCAGTGGTTGTGATTACTGGATCATATGGCCGAGAGCTTGTTTGGTTTTGCAAGAGCTGCCAAGCTGTCCTCACAGTGCTGCGCTGTTGTGCGTGCGCACTGGTGGGGAAGCAGAGTTGCTGCTCCCACGTTGTCCTCTGCACGTGGCCTTAAGTGTTTTAGATTCTGGCTGTTCTATTAAGTGGGCAGTGGCAGCCTGTGGCTATTACGCGCCACTTCCTGATGGCGTGGGACATGGAGCCTCTTTCGTGTGCTGCTCTGCATCTGCGCATCGTCTGTGGTGTCTGTTTAGGTCTGAAGCCCATTCTTTAGTGAGGTGTTTTCGTGGTTTTCCCCTTACTGTTGAGTTTTACGGTTTCTTTGTATGTTTTGGATAACAGTGTATTATCAGGTGTGTTTTGGAAATATTTTCTCCCAGTCTGTGGCTTGTCTTTTCATTCCTTTAACAGTTTCTTTGCAGGGTAGACGTTAGTTTTAGTGACGTCCAATCTAATTTCCTTCCCCACATTTTGCTTCTGGTGTCACATCTGAAAAGCCATCGCGCCCGGCCGGGCATGGCTCAGCGGTTGAGCGTTTACCTGGGATCCAGGCGATCGGGGTTCGATTCCCGGTCAGGGCACATGCCGGGTTGCGGGCTAGGCAGCCCCATCAGTGACTCTCTCGTCATTGATGTCTCTCTCTCTCTCTCTCCTCCTCCTTTCCTCTCTCTGAAATCAATAAAGATATATTTTAAAAAAATAAAAAATTAAAAAGCCATCACCATCCTGAGGTCATCTAGGTTGCTGCCTGTTGTCTCCTAAGAGGTTTATAGTTTTACATTTTACACTTAGGCCTCTAATCCATTTCAAGTTAATTTTGTGGCAAATGGAAGGCCTGTGTCTAGACTCCTCTTGCGTGTGGGTGTCAGTCCTTCTGGCACCATTTGTCGAAGGGCTGTCCTCCCTTCACCTACTTCCCTCCTCTCCACTAACAGTGTCTGTATTCTTGTGGGTTTTACTTCTGGGCTGTCTGTTTTCTTCCATTAATCTGTTTTTTCCCCAACACCACACTGTCTTGATCACTGTAGCTTTGTAGTCAGTTCTCCAACTTTGCTGTTCTTCAGTGTTGTGTTGGCTGTTACGTGCTTTTGTCTAAAATTATTTGCTAAATAATGTGCTGGGGTTTTGTTCAGGGTTGCACTGAATCTGCAGGTCATGTTTGGAAGAACTGACATTTTAACGATAATGAGTCTTCCTGTCCGTGAATGTACTTTCTCTCCATTTATTTAGATCTTTGATTTTTTTAATCATAGTTTTGCAGTTATTCTTATGTAGATCTTGAATGTATTTTGTTAAGTTTATACCTATGTATTTTATTTTGGGGGCTGCTAATATAAATGATATTGTGGTTTTAATTTCAAATATCAATTGTTCATTGTTGATATATAGTAAAGCAGTTGACTGTTGCATATTAACCTTGTCTCCTGCCACCTTGCTATAATGCTTTATTAGTTCCAGGAATATTTTAGGTGATTCTTTGGGATTTTCTATATAGACAATCATGTCATCTGTGAACAGAGAAAGTTTCATGTGTTTTTCTCAGTGTATTTTTAATTTATTTTTCTTGTTTTATTGCATTAGCTAGGCCTTCCAGTGTGAGTTGAATAGTTTCATGCTTTGTTGTATCTGTGAAAACTTAATGTTTTCTCAAAGATGAGCTGGTGTGTTTAGTTAATAGATTGATATTTTAAAGACGTCTGGGTTGCCCCCCAAACATTAGTTTTACAGTGACTTAGGAAATTCATTCATTTTATAAATACCTAAGTCCTATCGTTTACTAGACATTCTTCTAAGCACTTAGAGATACATTAGTGACTAAGACAGGAAAGGTCCCTGCCCCAAGAAGACTGTTTCCTCTACAAAGTCAGTGATGTTTATTCAAAGGTGAACTTCTTCTTCTGGTTTAAGAAGCTTGTCCGTATGTTATTATCTTGTATTGTGCTCCCTAATCAGGGTAGAGTTACTAAGCTTCATTATTGGGTACCACAGTGGAGAAAGTGTGTATTGGTCATGATAGAGAATTTTGTCAGTATATATGAACTCTTACCTGTAGCCAAATGCAGTTAGAGGAGCCAAGAGCCAAGTGCTTGCTGGAGGGGAAACCATGCTTTAGGTAGAAAATTACCTTAAATCCCAGATGCAGTAGGAGGCTGCTCCGTTCTCCATGGGGACCCAAAACCTCTTTTGGATCATGGAGCCCTTTGACAGTGTGACAAAGCTTCAGTCCTTCCCAGGAAAGTGGATCTGCCTGTAGTTTTAGGGATTAACAGGCTCCAGTGAAGCCCATCACGGCCCGACCCTTCAGGGTTAAGGACCTGCTGCAGTCAGAGTCAGTGAGCATTCAGTGAAGAAAAGTCACGGATGTGGTATGTTAGGGTTTCTCGAAAAGGTGTAAGATAATTTCTAGATGCACATTTATTTTATAAACTAATGCATTCTGGTTTAAGTGAAAAACAAACCGTGGGCTTTTGAAGGTAGCCTCATTGTTAAATAATGTGAATGTAAAGACATTTCACTGAAAAAGTGTTCAGGATTTCATAATTGGAAGGGCAAAAGATGTCCCATGGGTTGAAAAAAAAATAGTTAAGCCCGGCCGGGCGTGGCTCAGCGGTTGAGCGTTGACCTGGGATCCAGGTGATTGGGGTTTGATTCTCGGTCGGGGCACATGCCTGGGTGTGGGCTCGATCAATGACTCTCTCATCATTGATGTTTCTGTCTCTCTCGCCCCCTCTCCTTTCCTCTCTCTGAAATCAATAAAGACATATTTAAAAAAAAAAAAAAGTTAATTAAAAATGTATTGGGTCTGCTTTAAAAATCCAACTATTTTGTTAGGTGAAGACTAGAACGGTGGCCGAGTGTGTAGCGTTCTACTACATGTGGAAGAAATCTGAGCGCTACGATTACTTTGCTCAGCAGACGAGATTTGGAAAGAAGCGGTACAACCACCACCCTGGAGTGACGTAAGTGCCGTGGTCCTGACCCGGGACCTCTGTCTTCCCCGGGACGGGCAGTCACAGTACTGGGTGTGTTTTTCAGGGACTATATGGATCGTTTGGTAGATGAAACAGAAGCTCTGGGTGGGACAGTCAGTTCTTCCGTCTTAACCTCCAGCCGACCTGAGCCTGTTCCTGATCCACAGCTGAACATCCTCAGCTCTTTCACTGCAAGCGACTTGACAGGTAAAACGGCCCCGGTGGGTTCTGAGCTCAGGGTGAAGTTGAGTCCTTATTTCCTGACATCGGACCACTTCCTGGAACCGTCTTCTCTTGCTCTTCTTTCAGCTTTGACCGGCAGTGTGGCAAGCGGCTGCAGCCCCGCGGACGTGACGTGCTTGGATGATGGCTTTCCTCCCCTGGGCAGCACACCCCGTGCACAAGTGAACCACGTGCCAGTGGTGACGGAGGAGCTGCTTGCCCTGCCCAGCAGTGGGGAGAGTGACTGTTTTAACTTATTCGAGACTGGGTTTTACCATTCGGAGCTCAACCCCGTGAACCTGTGCAGTGAGGAGTCAGAGAGACCAGCCAAGAGGTTGAAAATGGGCCTTGCTGTTCCCGAGTCCTTCATGAGTGAGGTGTCCGTGAATAACTTGGGTGTGGACTTTGAGAGCCACGCGCATCACATTGCCAGCGCCAAAATGGCTGTGTCTGTGTCTGACTTTGGCAGCCTGGCTGCCGGCGAGGCCAACGGCTTCATCAGCGCCCACGCTCTGCACCAGCATGCCGCCCTCCACTCCGAGTGACCTGGGCACACGGGGCCCATTGCGGCTGCAGTGCCAGTGAACAGGGACACATCAGGTTTGCTTAGTCTTTCACTGGAAGTTTGAACGTTTCACTATGACATCAGTGATGTCAGTATGTATAGAACTATGTCTTGATTTATCAAGAATATTCTCATTTTTCAATCCATAAATGTGGAAATGAACTAGGGTCAGCAGAGTTGGGAATGAAGATCGAACTCTGTGGTGCAGCTTTAAGCTCTGCTCATCTCTTCCTCACCTCCCAGTACCTCTTCCCCACACCCTTCTTTTTCTAGTCTCTTCTGTTCTCATGTTCAAAACCTGTAGACAGAGGCCACCAGCTCAAAACCAGCAGATGTTCGGAACTGAATGGAGTGGTTTCTCCGTGTAAATTCCTTTTGCCGTAACGGATGCAGTGGAATAACCGTGTTTACAGGTACCGATCTGATCCCTGCTAAATGTAGCATTTTTTGGTTTTCTAAGTTAAGCAGGGGTAGGTTTCTTTAAACTGCACAAACATGCAAGGACTTTTTAAAAATGGAAACTTCTCTCATGTTATTCAACCAGAGCACTTCTGTTTACAAACAGCAAGTCCATCTTGTGGAGGCCGCACGAGGAGCTGTGCAGACGACGAGGGGATCCTGCTTCCCAATTCTCACTCACCAGGGCACTTTCCACAGAATCGGTCCTTTTACTGTTGGGAGATTTTTATGAAACTTCATTTGTTGGCTACAGATTGGGCGTTTGAAGATGTGGTATCCAGATGGAGTTTGTCCACCACTGTCAAGATCGTGATTGTAAAGCCATACCGGTCATTGGTGGTTTTGTTTATTGCCAGGCAGTGGACCAGCACAGCCCAGTCTGCAGAGCCCGGGGTGGGCATTGCCACTCATGGCTTACACTTGGGACGCCTCTGGTGGTGTTTGTAGCACAGGTCAAAGTGTTAATGTCAAGGAGGGACTTCAATATTTTACAACGGTGCAGGAGAGCCTTGAAGTGTGTTTACACGTTTTGTTTAGCTTGAACAGATGGCGAGGAAAATGTGAGTTACTATCTGAAGTAGAATGGTACGCTACCACTTGAAGTGTATACAGTGTAGACGCTCAGGTGTGTCTCAAGCTCAATTTTATTTCTGTGGCTGACATCGTGGATGAGAAGCTGTTGTCACAAACCTTGGCCACTGTGCTCCGTAGACAGCATCTGAGTTACAAGGTGAATTCAAACAACACGTAACAGTATTAGGATGTACTATGCTTTGCTTTTATATTTCAGTTAAGACAGAGTTTTACTTTTTTATTTGCACCGCTTTAATTAGAACGTTCAGTTTCTGTGAGTTGTCTTGCTTCGCAGACAGCTGAAACGTGTGGCTGCGTTGCTGAACCTTGTGAGTGTGCATCACCTCAAGGCAGTGCTGATGCGTAGGTAGATCGTAGTGACCTTAGCCAAGGTGGAGGGGCGGGTATTTATTATACAGACTGTGAACTGCAATGACATCCTTGCTTTGGATGAAGTGTATTCTTGTTTTTCTTTGCAGCATTTTAATGAAGATTGCTTTGAAGTGTTTACACAGTGTAGCGCATTTACCATAAAGTTTAGTTTAGCACAGTGGACAGAGTAGGTAAGTTAATAACTTAAATCTGTCTCTAACTTATGCACCTGAAGCCTGGCATCCTGTGTGCACACAGTGGCTGATGTGGAGCCTGGGCGAGTGCTGCGTCAGGTGTTTTACCTGAGGCGTGAGCTGCTGATCGCTGTGGTGTTGTGCTCAACTGTGGACCTGAGTTCCGTAAGAATCAGTACAACTCCTGTGATTTAGTAAGATACCGGCCATAATCTTCCATTGTCCTAACTTTAATTTCCACTCTGGGCTTCCAGTGGCTGGTCCGTGTGAAGTGATTTGCAGAGGCGACAGCCCCGCCAGGAGCACTTAGTGAACACGCCCGCTCCCTAGGGAAGCAGTGATAGGTCAGTGCATCTGTGCATTGCTGGGGTCTTGATGCAAGATGGAAACAGTGTTTCTTATCTAAAGTTCTGATTATCAGCAAGTGGAATGGACACTTTAGTTATTTGAATAAAGTTTTTGACCAAAATTCAGAAAATGATATGAGAGAAAATAAATTCCAGCTAGTTTCATAGATGTTTAAACGCCAGCCAGGTTCAGCCTCAGAGAGCGCTGATGGGCTGGCAGCGTTTACTTCTAATTCCTTGTTAAAATGAGGCAATAATTTGCAAGATTTTTGTATATATATGTAAATTTTTCCTACTTTTTAGATCTGATTCAGTATTTTCTGTCTGCCGTGTAGAATACCATTTTGTGCATGCGTGATGTGACACATAAACTGTACCCTATGACTCTCCATGTAAAATAGCTATTTATTGAATTTTCTTTTAAAAGCTGGATTGACTGTTTTCCCCCTCTCCATTTAAGCTTATTAACACAGAATTTGTTACTGTTTGTTAGGAGAATTGTGCTTGAGAGCACGAGGATAGCTGATCTGCAGTCGAAGAGACAGTAATGCCTTTACTACCACGCATTAAGCACAATTCTTATAACAGACTGTGATAAATTCTCTTTGTTTTTTTCCTTTGCTGCATTATTTTTGTATGAACAAACCAAAAATCCATGGTGAACAGTTGCAGTGTTGGCTGGTGTGTCTGTATGTACAGAGAGTTGGAGAGGACAGCGGGGTGGGGTGTGACTGGTGCTGTGACCATAGCAATATTTACTTGTTAGCCACGGTCCGTCTTCTCACGCTGGCTTCTTAAACGTCCGGATTTCCTCTTGTCATGCTCAGCTGCTGAATTTACTTGAAGGATGTGGAATACTGTTTAAACAGTACTAAAGTGTGTACAATTAGGTCAAAGCATCGTGCAATTGTTTTCCGTTTCATTTGTACAATTGAGGGTCCTAAGTGTTTGAGGACATCAGCTCTAACAGAGCATAGTGACTTTATTGAATTTAACCAAAGTCTCTAGTGCATCTTTCAACTCTGAATGTAAACTAAGGAAGAAACCTGACCACCAAGGAGACTGTTGCCCAGAGTTTCAAAGCACATTGTCTACAAATGGAAAATGAAATAATTTATAAGAATATTGACATTACTATGTTTTTTAAAAAGTTCTTAATTTTTCACGAAAAGGAGGAAACTATTAGTTTTATTGTTAAATGTGGTAGATATTAAAATTCCTCTTAGAAAACCAGTGATTCTAATGGTCCCAGTTTGAAACAAGTACCCTGTATGAGATGAATTAGTGACAATCAGAACAAGTTTTAGTACCAGATGTTCAAGAGGAAGTTGCTGTTGTTGCATTGATTTTAATATTTGTACATAAACACTGATTTTTTTGAGCATTATTTTGTATTTGTTGTACTTTAATACCTGTACAGTTCCAGAAATAAAAATCTGGAAATCTTTTTTTTCTTGGTTCGTGTGAATATTTGCCACAAAGATTTTTATTTAATGAATCTTGGTTTTGGACATAGTAGATATTTGGTAGGTAAAAGATAAGTTTTCTGTAAATTCTCTATAATAAATTTCCATTTATAATAAAACTGTAGCCATTCCAAAGTGAGGATTATACTTTCAACTTAATTCAGGAAATATTTATTGAATGTGGTATGTTTTGAACACTGTCCTCAGTAACTGTCTTTTAAGAAGACGTGATCTATGAAGTTCGATCACATGCTGTTATTTGACAATATGTTTATGGTAGTTTTCTTCACAGTTTAGTAGACTAGAGATATCTTCCGTAAGCTTTCATCTTTTCCAGCTGACGATCTTTCAGCCTAATTTCACAAGTGTGCCCCAGCCTTCACTTGCTCTGACCAGAGCTTGCTCCATTCTTGGCTTCGGTCGGATGGCACACAGTATCCGGATCCTGTGTGAGGACAGGAGAGAGGAAATGAAAACAGAACCCTGACTCCTCAGCTCTGGTTACGTATCTAAAACTACATTCCTTCATTCACAGACACCAAAGAGCCCTGATGAAGGCAGCCAAGTGCCACGTGAGAGCTACATGGTGTTCCAGGCTTTTAGGGGAAGGACCAGAGTAGTGACTTCTAGGTCTTGTCCATTTGGGCCGTAATTTCCATCAGTGGTACCTTTCTGAGCCTGCTGCGTCTGTAACTTATAGGCCTCATGGCTTTTATAAGTGGGACATTTTCATTATATACACTTCTATTTAAAATTTTTAAAAAAATGTTTTTAATGCCCTAGCCAGTTTGGCTCAGTGGTTAGAGTGTTGACCTGTGGATTGAAGGGTCCCGGGTTTGACTCTGGTCAAGGGCACCTACCTTGGTTGCAGGCTTGATCCCCGGCCCCGGTCAGGGCAAGTGCGGGAGGCAACCGATTGATGTTTCTCACATCAGTGTTTCTCTTTCTTCCCCCTTCCACTCTTTCTGAAAAGCAATGGAAAAAATATCCTCTGTTGAGGATTTAAAAAAACACTTACTGATTTCAGAGAGAGGAAGGGGGGGAGAGAGAAACATCAATGAAGAGAGAATCACCCATCGGCTGCCTCCTGCACGTCCCCTGCTGGGGACTGAACCCGCCCGAAACCCAGGCATGTGCTGTGCCTTGACCGGGAATCGAACAGTGACCAGGTTCATGGGTCGACGCTCAACCAGTGAGCCACGCCAGCCAGGCTATACCCACTCTTAATTTCAACTAGTCCCTGGGACAGCACTGCTTACCATCTCCCATCCAGGTTGGTGACCCCCAACCCTCACCCTGTTTGTGTGTGTGTGTGGGGGGGCGTTCTGATGAGACTGCCAGGGCACTGAATTCAGGTCCTAGACCAGGAACGTGTACGTTTTTTCTAGGTTTAAGACACTAGCTAGCACCCACTGTAGAGAAACGCTGTACTCTGCTGTGTTTATTGATTTGAGAGAGAGAAACCTTGATTTGCTGCTCCACTTATTTCTGCATTCGATGTTGATTCTGGCACGTGCCCTGACGGGGGAATCACACCGCAGCCTTGCAGCCTTGCAGCCTTGGCGTATCAGGACAACGCTCTACCACCTGAACCACCTGGCCAGGGTTGCACCTTGGTGTTAATGAGCCTGTTTTCAGAGGGAAAGCCAGTGCCGCCTCAAGTTGTTCACAGGTGTAGAATTCCTAACAGCACGTCATCAGCCTGTAGGAAGTGAAGTCAGCCATTTATAAATCTAAAAAATTATTTTAGTAAGAAAAAAAAAGGTTCTACTTTAAAAAATGTTTTATTTAAAAAGATACCATGTACTTTCAACAATAAAGGTAAAAAATCACAGACCTTTACTCCATGTTCCCAGTGCAGACCAAGTCCTGGTCCTGGGCAAGTGTTTTGCACCCACCACGAGCATCATCTCAGCGGGAACCGTACTTTATTCTTTGAGTCTCCCAGGACTTTTCACATAAGTAGATATTCACTAAATATTTGATGACATATATACTCTTAAGCTGATGGTGACTTTCCCCAACTTAAAAAGTTTAGCCCTGGCCACTGTGGCTCGGGCTGAGCATCGTCCTGTGAACCGGAGGTTGGGGGTTCGATTCCCGGGAGGGCACACGCCGGGTTGCGGCTCAATCCCCAGTCGGGGGTGTGCAGAGGCAGCCGATGGGTGTTGTGCCCTCCCATGGCTGTTTCTCTCTTCTCCCGTCCTCTCTCAAAATCAATAAACTATGTTTAAATAAGTGTAAAACTTTTAAGACAAAAGAACAAAGAATTAACATTTACCGTATTTGATCTCTAATGTGCACTTTTCTCAACTATTTTAAAGTCATTGGCATTTAACACTTTCCTCCCAAGCGCTCAGCCCTCCCAGTTTGTCCGCAGGGGGTTCTGTGTATTTTTAACCCTCACCCCAGGGCATTTTTCCATTGATTTTTGAGAGAGAGAAACATCGATGTGAGAGACCCATGGATGGGTTGCCTCTGACAGGCGCCCCAACGAGGGCTGGGGATGGAGCCTGCAACCGAGGTGCGTGCCCTTGGCTGGAATCGAGCCCGGACCCGTCAGTCTGCAGGCCAACGCTAACCCGAGCACACCTCCAGGGCAGCGTCCGTGTTTACGTACAGTTCTGGGTAACAGGTCTCCTTGATCAAGTCTGTCAGCTTTTTTACAAGATGAGTCCCCCCTGATGTAATAAGATCTCAGTGGCACAGAGACTGAGTGATGAGGAGCTCACGGCCGTGCTTGCGTGTGCGCGTGCATGTGTGTGCATGTGCGTGTGCGCGGGCCACAGCATTTATCCAGGATGGGAGGAGGAATCAGAATTTTGAGCAGAGCCAGGCCAAGACCTGAGTCCCTTCTGAAAGACTCGCTCCTAGATGAAGGGGGCAGGAGGCTATTAAAATTGCAATAAATTGCCCTGGCCGGTGTGGCTCAGTTGGCGGAGCATCATCTCATGCACCCAAAGGTGACGGTTTGATTCCCAGTCAGGGCACATGCCCCGGTTTTGGGCTTGATCCCCAGTAGGGGGTGTGCAGGAGGCAGGTGATCGATGTTTCTCTCCTTTCCTGTACAAAATCAATAAAAATATATTTTAAAAAATCAAAATAACATTGCAGTAAATTGAGAGAAGCTGCTGGTGTAGCAGTGAAGGTGGTTAGCACCTGGCTCTACAGGTTCCCTGGAAGGGTTTGGGGGCCCAGTAAATAACACTGCTTCCTTACCTAAGTTTGGAGCTGAGAGTTGGATGCAGGAGTCAGGTCTATGGAGATCAAAGGAATTATTACTAATACAAGTCTGGAGGAGGTGGCTTCAGAGCTGTGGCTAGGTTGGCTCACTCACCCCCCATCAGCCACTGGGCTGCCCCCAGGCTGCTCCTCGCGGAGGGGGGGGGGGCAGGGCGCGGCCCAGGAGGCCACAGAACGGGAGCTCCAGGGGCCGGGGGTCTAGTTCTCCAGAGATAACCGAGAAAGTCACCTTCCTCCAGTGGGAGGAGAGGGGCAGGAGCATTAGTGACGGGAGCCTTGCAGGTGGGGACACGAGGAATGCGGCCAGGTGCTCGCCCACCACCACCGTCTTTTAACATAGTCCCACACCAGACAACCTCACACGCTTTTTAAACTCCGTGTGTGTGTAAATTTCAAGTAAAGTAAATAGTGTAATGACTCCCCCATTTCTCCGTTAGCCATATAACACAATCTATAAATCACACACACACCCCAATTAATTCAAGGTCACACAAAAATATGTTTGGTTTATTCTATAAAAGTAAAGTTTTTACAGAAGTTCTTACACATCAACAGTAAAAGAAGTGCTGTTGACTTGGCTGAAATTTTATAAACCACCGCAGACACACATTAAACAAAAGAAACACTGAAATAAGTTCAGGTGGCAGGTTTTAATTTAATAAGCTACTGTGCAGGGAAACGAAATAAAATTGGAATTGTATTGTAAATTTGAAACTGTAATGAAGCAAATAGTTTTTATCATGGAATCGAAACATAAAGTATCAATAGAAATAAAAAATCCCCACCCTGATTAGATCTCAAAGCCCGAGTTGTACAGGTGGGACTCAGAGAAATGGTGAACAGAAGCACTAACGTTAACAACAGTCGAGCAGAAAACCCAGTTCCTCGTTCAGTCAGCTGACAATTGTGTAGTAGTTTGAAAAAAGCTCCTCTCCTTGTTCGATGTCCCTGAGCGCGACGAGAACCACACATCGGAGTGGGCTGAAAGCAAGAAAAGCCGAGACAGACGCACGTCACAGGTCCTGACTCACAGCTGGGTGTGAGTGTAGCCGTCCCGGGCTGCGGGGCGTCACCTCACTCAGTCCCTGCCACCTGCTCAGCCAACTGTGACGAACACAAAATCTAAGCTATAATTTTTCACAAAAAACACCCCAAAACAAAAAACTTACCCCAAATCCTGCAGAGCTTTATGTTTTTTGACAACATACTGTTTTAAGCACAGCTCATATGAGACAAGCTGGGAAAGGCTCTATGGGAGGACTGACCTGTGCTGGTCGCAGCCGTAGGCAGTGTTTGGAAGGTACTGCTTCAGCTCCACAGGGAAGACTGCAGGCACGTCCCACTCCTGATAGCAGACGTTAGCTGGTCTGTCTAGGAGCGAGCACGTCGCTTTTAGAAACAGAGTCGTTTTACAAGGTCACGGGAAAGAGCGCTGAGTTATGAACTGGATGTATGGATTTCTAAATTATCAGAACATGCTCAAATTAATAATCACTGTTATGTTCCAGGCACTGCTCTCTCTCTCTCTATATATATATGTATATAATATATACATATTATATATNCTGCTCTCTCTCTCTCTCTATATATATATGTATATAATATATACATATTATATATACATATGTTTTTTAATTTACTTTTTGAAGATCAGGAAACAGGCTCAGGAGGTTAAATGTTACGTAGAAGAGTCAGGCCTCAAGTTAATGTCTCCCCAACGCCAAAGCCTATGCTAAATGTAGCCAGATGGCCAAACTTAGACTTATAGGAAAGTCACACCCCAGAGAAGGTAAACGACTCACAAACTTAGCAGCAGAAAGGGGACACCAGCCTAGTGGTTAATCCACGAGGCTATACTCAGGGACAGACAAAATCATCTCTATATCAACTATCAAAAAACGATGATGATAATGATGAAAAGGGCAGCTTTCCAGTGCCTATGTTTACTGCCAAACCAAACCAAAACAGTACATGAAAGAACTCCAGTTAACAGATATCACTGTTTCCCCCAATTCTCTCTGCTATCTGCCTCAAAGAGTTAGTCTGTGTGAGGGCTTCGAACAGCTGAGACGTTCAACTCCTCCCAGTCGCATGGCTCAGGAAGAGAACTGCCACTGCCGCTCGCTCGCTCGCAGCCCCATGGTGCCGACTCACCATTGGAACAATTGTTGACATACTGTCCTACAGCCAGCGGATTCTGCATCTCTGATGTCAGCCACGTGCTATCACTCATTTTTAAAGGGCCAAGCCGATCCCTTCCGCTGCAAGATCTGAAACGGGAGAAGCATTAGCCAAGGGATTGTTCCTCTGGATCTTAAAATTCAAAAACACAAAATCAACCCAACCCTACAACTCCAAAAGTGCAATTTTTCTTTAAAGAAGAAAACACCTTAGTCTAATCAACAAGGCAACTAAGGTTAGTGGTCACGGTCACTGTGGTGTGGCTTGTCTCCTAGAATTCAATTTGAACATGGGCACCAACCTACCTGTACACGAGTTTCGAGATTCCCTTGTCATTTCCATCAATGAGTATGCCATCCAAGCATCTGAAAATAAACGGGTTTCCAATAGACTGGAAAAAGATTGGCTCATATTTCTGATACACTGTACCTATCATACGACAAGAAAGAGATATTACAGCCACATGTAAAAGTCACTAACATCATGATAAGGCCTTTTCTCCGGAGCATAAACATAACATGTAAGAATGTTTTAATTTCTCAACCTTTTCTCTAATATTTTACCTCCAAGTTAGACCATCACGTTCTCTCTGGCCGTTTTCCCCTTTAAAGAGTGCCCAAGAGCAGACTGAGCAGAATCAACATGTCCACACAGCCAAAAAATAAAAGGACTTGGTTAATAAAAATGTGAACACATTTCAGGCTCAGTTTTACCAAGTCGTGGGGTTTGTTGTTTTTTAATTGATTTGAGAGAGGCACATGGATTTGTTGTTTCACTTATTTGTGTATTCATCGGTTGATTCCAGTACGTACCCTGACTGGGGGTCAAACCTGCAATGGTGGCTTATTGTGATGATGCTCTAACCAACAGCTACCCTGTGAGGGCTGTTTTTTGGGGTTTTTTCTGTCTTTTACGTAAAGTGTGGTTTGACACCTATCACAGCATCTTTCAAGGAATGTATTTTGTTAATGACCAATTAAATAATGTAGACACATGTGGCCATTCAGGTGGTTCCTCCTTTCACTGGCAGAGGAACGGAGAAAGTCATGCATACCAGGTGCTGCTTATGTCCCAGGCACGTCAATCTACTACATTTATTTTAGTGTTGATTTGTTTCTGGTTGGTTCTGTTTAATCCTTAGAGTTAATTGTGTAGGAAGACACCGAGACCCTCTTGTTTAGGGATGTGGCTTAGCAAGTCATCGGAGGACTTCAGGGAAAGATTAGGCCTATCTGATTTAAACTCCACTTTGTTTTCCACTTTGCCGAATAACGTAACGTCAGTTTAACAGATGACATATTCTACCGAGCATTTGAATTGATCTTTTGCAAAGAAGCTGCTTGCTTCCCAAGTGTAGAGACACCAGGAAGGTCTTTATTCAGTGATGTACGGGCCTATGCCCTACCTTTCACGCTTTAACCCAGATCTTGTTTACCTTTAGTTATCAATTATCTAGGCCAAACTGACTTATTCTCTAGTACTTTCTATTACTAAGTCTGATCAAAGCCGGCCATCCCATACCCTTAAATTTACACATCGACTAGAAAAATTTCCTTAAAAGAAAAATGCATTTATCCCAACAAATAACACGGATACTTTCTGACACACGAGATAATTTCCAACAGTTAATTTCCAAATCAGGATTTAAAAATCTGTGGAGATCTGAGTTTCCGATTCAGCTCCTTACTCTAAAGGTTACGGGGCTAGGCCTTTTTTTTTTTAACTTGTAGTTATCAGTATGTAGGAATCTCCAAGCAGAGTGAACTGAGCCATTACCAGGATACATGGCCACGACCGCGCCTCTGGGCGCCCGTCCTTGGGTAATGAAGACGCCTCTCCCGGCGGAAACCAACGAGCTGGGCGCTCGGGCGACGCTGAAACCCAGAGTCTTACAGAGAATTTCTTCTGGTTTAAAGATGCTTTGCCGCCGGCGTCTGTCCTGGAGGTTCGCCCGTGGGTGCTGAGCCGACAGGAGGTCCTGGTATTTCGACTGCACAGCGTCTGGAAGCACAGTCAGGACACGCGCCTGCTTCCCGAGGTCGTTCATGAACAGCGCCCGGAAGGCGTCCAGCAGCGCCCCCCGGACGGCCTCGTCGGGGGCGACCTTGTCCCGCAGCGCCCCCGGGACGCGCCGGAGGGTCCTGGACACGGGAAAGGCCATCACCGCGCGCCGGGAGGGCCGTGCCCACGCGCCCGAGGGCGGGAGCCAAGCGCTTCCGAAACAGTAACTGGGGTACAGCCGCCTTCCAACAGCGCCCACCAGGGGTACGAGGCGCCAATCCTGCCCAGGGCCGGGCCTCCCGCAAATCATCTCGCTTCTGCGCCCCAGGGAACAGGCTGGGGCCCTGCCCGGGGCGCACCCACTGCCCCC